CTTTTTATTAATTATAGAGATGGAAAATAGTGGAAGAAGCTCTTCCATTGTTGATCTATGATTGACTTGCAAGCGGTGAGTTTAATACATCATTTATTTAATCATATCATTTTTTTAATTTTAAAAGTAGTATTCTAAGTTTCTAATATTTGATTTTATCTTAAAAGGTACAAGGGTCAAGACAATGAAGAAATAATTTTATTGGCATGTGACACTTGAAAGTTGAAAGCGATCTCATGGAAGAAAGTCATGAAACTCATTATTGTTGTTTGTTATTGTTGAAAGTAATCTCATGGAAGAAGACAAGAAGTTCAAAATACATTGTTTGTTGCTTATTATTGTTTATTATGAGTTCACGAAAGACTTTATTGTTACTTGTTAGATTGTTATTATGTTGTATTTGTGATGCCATTAACTACAAATCTACAATGCAACTTTTGTTTTAGTGTCATTGTGAATTTCAAATTGTATGTTTTAGTGATATTGTGAATTCAAAATTTGCAGTGTTAATGCCTAATGACATATTGAAGTTTTGAATCATTAATAATTGATATAGTGAAATTTGGTAGTAAATTAGTAATGCACTTCTTTGATTTATTGTCTATTTTTGCTTTTTAGCACATTAAGTTGAAAAATCAAACAAAAAATTGAAAAAATTGTAAAGTTTAAAATTTTAAAAAGCCCACTAAACAGGCCCATTAAAAAACCAAAATAAAAAATTGAACCGAATTAATAAAAACCAAATCAAAATATTTCGGTTCGGTATTCGGTACGCAATTTACAAAAACCGAAAACCGAAAAAAAACCGAACCGAACCGAAATACCGAATGCCCACCCCTATTAAAATACACATAATTTCTTTTGAAATTCATGGGTAGGTGGTACTTCCGGGGACGCGTCGGGTTTTAAAATTAGAACTAGACCTCGTAGTTTGTTTGACTTTCCCACTAACGATAGGTTAGGAGATAGTGCTAATAATTTTATTTCAAAATAAACAATGTCATAATCAATTCAAAGTTTTAAAGGATGATTAAATAATGACTCTTAAGAAAGTTATGTTGCAAAACTTTGTAAGTAAGAAAAAAAAACTAGTAGAACATTAAGGTGGTAAATTATTAAATGCAAAGGTTTTGATATGAAATATTCAAAAGCCAAGTAGTTTGTTAAATGCATGAAATGATTTTAATTTATTATCACTATTATTTTAAGAAAACAACATATTGCATCATAAATGCGGAAATTTTCAAGGGGACAAATAAGATTACTAATTAAATAATATTAACTAATTTTAAGGGGAGGGAATAAATATGCACAACAAATTTTATTTTTTATTATGGATATGCTAAAGTTTAACCTTATAGACATCATTTCTAGGTATTCAAAAATAGAAAACAGAGTAACACATATATGCATGATTTTGTAAATCTAAATTATATGAACAGTTTAGTCCTTAGGCAGGGTTTCTACGTGACAAGACAATGCTAAAAAAGTTATAACATTTTTAAAACACATAATCAACCTACTAAATTATTACGATTTGATTTTAGCATTCAAAAATTAATGGAATCTAGTTTTTTTTTAATTTATTTTATAAATAAAAGCATCAAGCAAATTGAAAATTGGTCAGATTATAACACCTACAAACAATAATTCTAGGTGGTTAAAGATAAGCCTATAGGCATGATTTCTAACTTTTTTTAAAAAAAAAAATTTACAATGAACAAATAGCATGTAAATCCCCTTCCCCTAGACGATCCCCCAAATAAATTTATATATATGATCTTTAGAGTTACAAATGTTACAACATTCGAATAAATAAAATAAGAAAGAAAAAATATAGATTCAAATAAGCAAATAAATTTTTCTTCAGGGTTAATCTTCAACTTGAACTTCAAGTTTGAAACCTATCAAAGCAATCAAATAACGGTTAAGTAGATTAGGAATGGTAGCAATGAAAAAGAACAAGTTGATCCAACCTTTACTCGAACAAAAGCAAAATAGCAAAGTAGCGAAGAAGAGCACTTGAATGTTTACCGAAATCTTAATGTATTTAGAATAGCAAGAGAGCAATGAGAGAATGAAGAGTGATGAGAGAACTTGTGATTGAGAGTGAATGATTGTATGAGTGATTAAAAGAATGAGAAGGAGGGTCTCTTATATAGTAGAAGAGGGTGAACAAAATAGGAAAAGAAATAGATTAGAATAATTTATGAGCATAATATTCTTTTACCATAAATGAAGAAGAGTCAAAACAATATTATTCTACCATTTATAAACAAGTAAGAAAGTACTAAATTTACAAATAAAGAAAAATAGATCAATTAAACTTATTCTTATTTTGAGAGAGCCAAAAAAGTTTATATTTTAAATTCATTACCAAAAACAAACTAGTAAAAAAAAGTTAGGAAGATAATATTTCTTTTCCTTAATAAAAAAATCCAAATCAAAATTACTTTTACCAAACAAGACAAATTTAAATAAAGGAGAGAATAAATTAAGCCCCCCAAAAAAATATTTTCCTTATTTTAAAGGAGAGCTAAATCAGAAAAATAATTTAATTATTTTTACCAGATATAAAAGCAAGTGAAAATATGGTTACTATTTACAAACAAATTACCATAAGTCAAAAAATGGACAAGAGACAATCATGGGAAATAAAAATCAATATACTGAATCAAACAAAGTCAGCAAACTTTTTTTACCTTAATCGGTGTCCAACTAAACGCAAAATCAGTATAATATTATTACCATTCAAGGGAAGAAATAAATTTACAGCCCGCAATAATCACATAATATCAATAGTAAATTTAGTAGCTTACAATACCAAAGTCAATGAGCAAATCAGCAAGAGACTAGTAATTCAACAATATCACTTAGAGGACATACTAAGAATGATAAATTCATTAAGCATAGTCAAAATTAACAACTTAACAATTTATCCTAGAGGATGAAACAATTAAGGAGGTCATCAAGACTAGGAATATTCTTGAGGTCACACAACAAAATAAATGGAATCCAATTATTATTAGCAAAGGGAGAATCCTCTAAAAGAATTAGTTTAGGAAAAACAATCAATTTAGAAGCAACCTGCATTAGGAAAATCAAAAGATCACATCCAACAACAACTAGATCAAGAATCAGCCAAAACACATATACGAAGAAAATAAAAGTATTCAAGTGTATAATATAGTGATATTAATCCGAGCTGAAACTCAACAAACTTAAATCTACGAATAAAATTGTAAGACGAACAAATATATGAAGGGTCTTAAAGATTCATGCTTAGCATAAGATTAACAACTATTATTAATAAGAAAATCGCAACATCACATATGAAAGAAAATGATGTTCAGAAGACAACCAATAATTAAACCAAAGACGAACCTGAACGGATCTGTTGAGACCTGTCTCGCAAGTTACCAGAATTTCAAGCCTCGCTGGAAATGCTCATTGTTGCTGCTGCTCGCTGTTGGAGTTCTCGTCGGGCTGCTGTCATCAGTGAGTTGCAGATTTTGCCAGAGCTGCTGGCCGGTGGGAAGCGTTGATTGCTGCTGTCGGTGCCTGCCGTTTGCTGCTGGTTTGTTGTTGCCTTGAAGCTCGCCTGAGTGCTGCCAGCAATGGATAAAATAAGGCAGGAAAGAAGGGAAGAGAGAAGAGACAGGAAGAGAGCGGCTCTCGCTAGTTGCTGCAGCTTCTTGCTGCTTTCTCAAGAAAAAGGAGAAGAGGAGAGAGAGGGGGTTGCGCTGCCTCGCGCTAGTGGCTGCTGGCTGCGGGGTTCCTGCCGGTCAAGAAAATTAGAGAAGAGGGAGGGAGAAGAGAGGGGCGGAGAGGAAGGCGAGAGGAGAGAGGCGTCGGGGAGAGGAAAGTGACCGCCTCCGGAGGGCTTCACCGGAAAAATAGATGGAAGAGAGGGAGGGGCAGCTGTTGGAGATGGAGAAGGGAGAAAGAGAGTCGTTTTTTAGGGATTAGGCCCTACTTTAGGTTAGAATAGGTGCAATTAAATATGGACCATTGATTTAATACGAGATGAAGGGTTAGGATTTGATTGATAAAATAGATCGATGAGATTAAAAGATGAGATGTATTGAAATCAGATTGGATTGAATATGGAATGGCTACAATTGCAATAAAATTTGGCTAGAATTGGAATGAAAGAGTGACTATGATTGAAATAAACTATAATTCAAGTGGCTAGAATTGAAAGAAATTATGATAGAATAGGCTAGAATTTAAAATTTAAAGAAAGTGTAGGAATTACTATTTAATTAAAATACTATATATATTAAAATATTTTTTATATAATTGAAATCATTTAAATTTTAAAACATTTGGAATTCATTAATAATTTTAAAATATTTTAATAATATTTACGATAATTTTAAAACATACTAACATATATAATTTTCAAGCAAAGTCGACTAAAAATTCTAAAATTTAAAATACGTATTTAATTGAATAGTATTCCTAAACATGGTCAAAGGTCGGTCAAAATTGGGTGTCAACAGCTATTCCTTGGTTGATTGAGAGTTAAGAATGAATTGTCAGGCAACCAACGTTGACTTAGTAGCCGATTTTGTCCGATCGACGACAGATGTCAGTGGGATCAATTGAAACGATATAGAGTTGAAAAAGGGTACGACCGAGACTTTGGTTTTAAGTCGCCTACATATCTCTAGTTATACGAGAATCAGGTCGTGTGTAGTTCTAGATTCAAGAGCAAATGAAACTCTTAAAAATTGAAAGAGCGCTAAGGTATTTGTAAGGCACGATATCGGCTTGAATGGATATGAATAGAGTAGCGAGAAAAGAGAGATTGAGAGGCTAGAATAGCGTGATAGAGAAGCAGCATGATAGAGTGAGGATATCAGCATTTGAGCAAGGTTCAGAATGAAAAACGAAGAATTGATAGGGTCTTCGTTTTGATAGATGATAGTATGATAATTGTAATCAAGGGGCGATCGATCATAACGTCAAACTCCAACAGATTTCATAGTATAAAGATATAAGAAAAATATCTGGTTGTTAGAAGAGTCTAAACGTCATTTTAAGGCGGACGAGCCTAAGTGTCATTTTAAGGCGGACGGCCTAAATATCTTATAAAGCGGACGAATAAATGTCCTATGAGGCGGACAAGCCTAAATGACCCTTTAAGGTGGACGTCCTAAATGTCCTATAAGATGGACAAACCTAAATGTCGTTTTAAGGCGTACGAGCCTAAATGTCCTATTGTAAGGCGGACGAGCCTAGATGTCGCATCGTAAGGCGGACGAGCCTAGATGTCACATTGTAAGGCGGACGAGCCTATATGTCGCATTGTAAGGCGGACGAGCCTAGATGTCACATTGTAAGGCGGATGAGCCTAGATGTCGCATTGTAAGGCGGACGAACCTAGATGTCGCATTGTAAGGTGGACGACCCTAGATGAAGAGATAGAAAGTCACAGTTGCGATTTGAATTCGAAGATATCTTCATGGTAGCCTGAATGATATATGAGTAGCGAAACGATAGTGCGAATAACCAAGAATTTGTCGGAGCCTTTGTTGTAAACAAGTGAACAGTCGTTCAAAAGGCGACTTTGTTTGTAATCTGCACATCTGTAACTTGTAATATAGCCTAAGTAGAGTAATTAGAACATACACATCAAAATAAATGGTAAATGTAAACATGATGCAATTTCCATGTTAACCATGAATGTTTGCCTTAAGATCGTGAAAAAATGACGTCTTAGGCTATGATGTCTAGGGCCATGATATGCATGGTGTATCCTCAGGTCATGAAAATGTTGTCTGTAGGCCATGAAAATGACGCCTTTAGACTATGACACCTTCGGATCATGATAGACAGAAATTAAACCCTTAGGCCATGAAATGATGTCCGCAGGCCATGAGGATGATGCCTTTAGACTATGACGCCTTAGGAACATGATATGCATAAAATAAGTCCTCAGGCCATGACATGAAGTCCGCAGGCCATGAAAGATGACGCCTTTGGAGGATGACGCCTTTGGAATATAAGTAACAAGTAAAGAGAGTGTATCTGTTTTTAGCATCTGTTGATACTCTTGTGACTTGATTTGATTCGGGCGCATGTAAACTTCGAGCACAATGCAATCTTGGGCTTATGCAAACTTCGAGCACAATGCAGTCTCGGGCACAATGTGATGATGCATTTCTTCGGGCACGTGCAATATCGAGCCCATCCAATGATGCATTTCTTCGGGCACATGCAATGATGTATTTCTTTCGGCACATGCAGTATCGAGCACATGCAATAATGAATTTCTTCAGGCACAATGCAATGATGCATTTCTTTGGGCGCAATGCAATGATGCATTTCTTCGGGCACATGCAATGATGCATTTTTCGGACACATGCAATGATGCATTTCTTCGGGCACAATGCAATGATGCATTTCTTCAGGCACATGCATTATCGGGCACATGCAATGATGCATTTCTCGAGCATAATGCGATCTCGGGCATAATGTAGTCATGCAAACCTAGATCTCAGGCATAGTGCAACTTCATAATTGAATGAGAAGGGTATGTAGTAGCTTGGACATCCGCCTTATTGGAAGGGTCGAGTGTCATTTGTCAGGCTCAAAAGTGGTATGTTTATTGTTGAAACTGCCTTTGTATATGTACCTGTATTTTCTACATTCAAAGAAAAATAGTTAGTTTAAAGGGAAGGTTGATCTGTATCCATGATTTGGCACAGCGTGCTTTTTTTTGGTGTCTGATAGAATACTCTTCGGAATATTGTCAAAAATTTTGAGATTTTCTCAAAATTTCTGCCCCAGTGTAGAATTTCTGTTATTCTGATCTGTTGTATTTGTAGCTCGACTATTGGATTTTTTGAGATTCTCTTAAAAATTTCTACCTAGTCTTGATTTTCAGCAATTTTGA